CCCCCCCCCCGTTTTCCTTCTCTGCCTAGGCGGATAATGGCCTGCCCGTGCATCTGAAAGGGGGCATGGTGGATGCCTTGCTGTATCGATTCACTATGAGCATCACTGTCTTTGGTAGGTGCTGCTTCCTGCTCAGGACGCCTGGGTTCTATCCCAGGCTCAGGGAGAGGAGTGGTGTGTAGTGGTTAGAGCGGGGTCAGGGCTTCTGGGTTCTGTGCACAGCTCTTTCAGAGGAGTGGGGTCTAGTGGTTAGAGCGAGGGGTGCGGGGGGGGGTGCTGCGAGTTAGAACTCCTGGGTTCTATCCCTGGCTCAGGGAGGGAGGTGGGGTGCAGTGGTTAGGGGGGGGCTGGGAGGCAGGACTCCTGGGTTCTATGCCTGGCTCAGGGAGGGAAGTGGGGTGCAGTGGTTAGAGGGGGAGCTGGGAGGCAGGACTCCTGGGTTCTATTCACAGCTTTCAGAGGAGTAGGGTCTAGTGGTTAGAGCCGGGGCGGGGGGAGGTTGTGCTGGGAGCTAGAAATCCTGGGTTCTCTCTCTAATTGGGACTAGTGGTTAGAGCAGGGAGCTAGGAATCCGCACTTCTGGGTTCAGTTATTAGTCGTTTAATGGAGCTGCAGCAAAGTCCCCCCGGGTCATAAGCACAATTTGAATCAAACGGAAGCCTGGTAGCTCTTAAAATAAAAGCCCAGGCCAGACAGAGAAATGAAACTGAACAAAGCCTGTTTGCTTCCTTGTTGTAATGATCCTTTTCTAGACCCATTTCCCTTTTGATTTGCGATCAGCCCCTTTGCGGACTCGCAGAGGTATTGAGGGGGAAAGATTTAGCTGTGAATGAGGCGGGGTGTTGTAGCATTTCCTAGTGGTTAGAGCAGGGGGGCCCTGGGAATCAGGATCCTTCGGTTCTGTTCCCAGCTCTGGGAGGGGAAGAAAATCTAGTGCTTTAGCACAGGAAGAAGTGGGAGGCAGGACTCCTGGGTTCTCTCCCCAGTTCTGGGAGGAGAGTGGGGTTCAGTGGTTAGAGCAGGGGGGCTGGGAGCCAGGACTCCTGGGTTCTATTCCCAGCTCTGGGAGGAGAGTGGGGTTCAGTGGTTAGAGCAGGGGGGCTGGGAGCCAGGACTCCTGGGTTCCGTGTGCATCAGGGGCAGGGGTATGATTTAGGGCTTGGGCCTCTCTTTCTATTCTGAAAATCTTACCAGTCATTCTCTTGCCGTTCCAGGCTCCTGTTACTCCGTCTTCTCGCTGGTCAGAGCCGCTTTCCCCCAGAAGAACAAATGAGATGGCGGTCTGGAATAGCTGGTTCCCCTCTCCCCCCGCCCCACTGGGCCCGTTCGGGGCTGGAAGCAGAGAGCGGAGAGCCATGTACTTTAAGAAAACCCCAACCCTCTGAAATCAATAAAAAGCACCTTTAAAAACTGTGTCAGGGTAAGACCCCCCCTTTGGGGGACAGGGGGGGAGTGGGGTGGGGCTAACGTGAGCACAGTGAGGGGATTGTTTCTTTCCAAATACTGGAATGACTCTCAGCAGCTGCTGGGCTTGATCCAAGACTCAGAGATTCTGATTCCCAGCTCCGCCGACCCCGCACTGCCTGTGCTTCAGGAATATCCTGTGGCAGAGGGTTCCACAGCTTAACAGGGATGGCCGGCGGGAGAAACTGACGCCGCGATTGATGCCCTCATTCCCTGATTCAGCTATCCTGTTGCCTTCATTTAGTTACTGAAACCTTTGCTTTGGGGGAGAAAGCGTGGGCTAGTGGGTTTGATTCCTGGCCCTGCCACTGGCCTGCTCAGTGATCTTGGGTGAGTCATAGCACCGCTCTGTGCCTCAGTTTCCCCATCTGTAAAATAAGGATAATGATACTGACCTCCTTTGTAAGCCCTGTATTGGAGCTACGGATTGTTGTTACTTAAGGGCCGGATGGCAATGGAATAAATATGCTGCCCAGGGGCCAATTGGGTGGGTCTCACAGATATGAGTGGTCTAGTCATTAGAGCAGTGGGAGGTTGGGAGCTGCCAGGACTCCTGGGTTCTATGAGTTGCCTGGTCCCCAGTGTCAGTCTGAGCAGCCTCAGGGCAAACTGGAGGAGATTGACCCAAAGGAGGACAGGTTTAGAAAACCTGACCCAGGAGGGAAGGCTGAAAGAAGTGGGCAGGTTTAGTCTAGAGAAGAGATGGTTGAGGGGAGAACTGAGAACAGGCGTCAGTTACGTTAAGAGCTACATAAAGCGGACGGTGATCCACTGCTCTCCATTGTGGGTAGAACAAGAAGGAACTGTCCCAATCCGCAGCAAGGGGGATTTAAGGTAGATAGTAGGAACTCTAAGGGGAGTCAGGGCTACCTGGTCCCGTCTCAGCGCGGGGGGAGATGGATTAGCTGACCAAAGGAGGTCCCTTTTAGCCCAATATTCCTAGAATGCTATGGGACAGCATCCCCCCCTCCTCTGGAGCATTTACCGGCCGGCAAATTGGACATGGGGTTTGAGTTTATCGTAAAGAAAAAGGCGCTTTTCCGTTTTTTTTTTTTTTTGTTTTTGTATTGTGCTTTGGAAAAAAAAATCACCTCGCTTACATCATGGATAAAAATAAAGAGGGCCCCTCACACAGACAGGGGCTTTGGTGTCACAGTGACAGATACGTTTGAAAACCAAACACACACACACACACAGGGATAGAAACCAGGGAGTCATCGGCATGCGCCCCCACCTCCCCAATCCAGCCGTCCCATCAGTCCTATTTCCCTTCATTTAGTTCGTGAAATGTTTGCTTCGGGAATATCCTGTGGTGGGGAGTTCCACAGGTTACCAGGAAAGGATGGAAGGGGAGCTGAACCAGGGAAATCTCTGATGTCCCCATTCTCTGATTCATCTCTCCCATTACTCCTATTTCTCTTTAATTGGTTAATGAAATGTTTGCTTCTGGAATATCCTGTGGTGGGGAGTTCCACAAGTGACCAGGAAAGGCTGGAAAGGGAACGGAACCAGAGAAATCTCCTATAGTTCCCATTCTCTGATTCATCTCTCCCATAACTCCTGTTTCTCTTCAGTAAGTTAATGAAATGTTTGCAAGTATCCAGTGGTGGGGGGTTCCACAGGTTAACAGGGAAGGATGGCATGGAGAATTGAACCAGGCAAGTCTCTAGCCTGATCCCTCTCTGATTCAGCTGTCCCATCAATCCTGTTTGGCTTCATTTAGCTACTGAAGCATTTGTGTCAGTTGATATACGGGCTTTCTTCAGAACAGCGTGGCCTAGTGGATAGAGCACTGGAGTGGGACTCCGGAGACCTGGGATCTATTCCCAGCTCTGCCACTGGCCTGCTGGGTGAGCTTGGGCAAGTCGCTTCCCTTCTCTGTGCCTCAGTTTCCCCATCTGTAAAATGGAGATAGTGCTACTGACACCACCACGCCCCTTTGTAAAGTGCTTTGAGATCTAGGGATTATTAATATCTTGTGGCATGGAGTTCCACAGGTTAACATGGTTCATAAAATCATAGGCTGCTCAGAACCCAAAGTTGGCTGGGATAACACACAAGAAAATCCCTGTCTCCCTCTCACCCCCTCCCCTACCCCCATTTCTCTCCAGATGGCAGAGTCCTGCCCAATCCCACAGCTGACTGGCCCTCCCCCAGCACTCATTGTCTGCCCCTGGGAAAACCCATCTCAGGCAGGGGGAGGAGCCTCCAGGGTAGGGGCATGGGTGGCAAGAGCGGGTGCGGGGCATGAGGACCCAATCACAAGAGGAGGGGTGGGGGAGATTAGGGTCCCATGGGAGGCAGGGCTGTGGCCGTTTGAAAATAGAACCAAATATCCACACGCCGCGCTCCAAAAATTCCCCCCGACTGGGAGAAAGTTCAGGGCCGCTTCCTCCTTCTGAGTCACTGCATTGGGGCATGATGCACAGGGGTCTGCCTTTCCTACAGTGGGTGGGGGGGGTCACATGTGTACCCCCAAGAGGATATAAAGATCCCTTCCCCCCACAACACATGGAGCCACCGTGTCTGTAGCATACTCCGTCCCCCCAGCTGCCACTGAGCCTACCACCTTCAGCACCCAGGGACAGCCCTCTCCCACTGGAGCTACAGGAGGAGCTCCCCTAGCTGGCTGCAATAGTAAGGCTGTTATCCGCTAAGTGCAATGGCAGTGCGCACACCCTACGCCCGCCCCCGAACATCCGCGGCTCCACCTAACGCACGGCGCCAGAGACTCCAGGGCAGGTTGGACAGCAGGGACGGACGGACGGACGGACAGCTGCGACCGGGAGCCGGGGAGGGGGGGCAGCGAAGCGGGAGAGCACGTGGCGCGGCGTCTCAGGCATTTTTTAGAATCTTCTTGGCCCGGGTGTTGGCTTCTTGGATGCGATCTTCGTTCACGGTGACCTGCGGGGAGAGGAGGCGGCGGTGGAACGGGCTCATGCCCTGATCCAGGTGGAGGGGAGGAGACAACTCGGGAGGCCACGGCTCCCTGTTAGGGGCTGCAAACCCACCCACAGCAACATAAGAACCTAGTTCCCGAGCAGGCGGGCGGGGACGACCTGGGAGCGCTGGGCCTACCCCCTCGCTAGCCGCCACCAGGGGGTTTCGAACCCATGACTCCCCCGCTTGGAAGCCCAGCCCAGACCTCTCCCACTTGAACATGGCCCCGGAAAGGGGTCACTGGGTCCTCCAATCCCATCCCCTGCTGACCCCGTCAGACACAGATCATGCTCCATCTTTGACCCAGTTTTGTTGTTTGTCCCCCCCAGCCCTTCTACTGTCCCAAACCCTCCACCCTCTGGTGCTTAGAAACCTGCTTCTAATCTCCACCCTCAGCCAATCACAGCCCAATTTCATCCCATTTCTTCTGGTGCCTTTAGCTTCCAGACCTTATCTTCCTGGGGTATTTCTAGACAGCCCTCAGCTCCCCGCTCGGCCTGCGTTTTGCCGGGCTCCACTCCTCCCTTCCCCCCACGCTCCTAGCAGCCTTTCTCTGCACCTTGAATTCAAGGAGGGAGTCGCTCCTTCGGCCAGCAGCAGTAGCTGGGCCATTATCCGCCAGCTGGCGCGAGATGCAGCGCACGATTCACAAGCGCGTGGCACCGGGTGAGCGTGCCCACCCTCCTTGGGCCGGGGAGCAGCTGGCGGCCGAGCAGTGAACCGAGCTGGACGGGGGTTCTCAGCCTGGCTCCTTAGTGGGGGCCAGACACTGTCCCATCTCCAGCCCCCCAAAACCCAGCCGGGGTCTGGTCCCACAGGGCTGCCCCCAAACCCAGCTGGAGTCTGATCCCACAGGGCTGCCCCCCAAAACCTGGCTGGGGTCAGATCCCACGGGGCAGCCCCCTCCAGCATCCCACTCCTTTGTCGCCCCTTGCAGGCAACCGGGCTCCTGCCCAAAGGCTGCGTCTCCAGGCGGGCGTGTGGCCGCGCGGCGCTCACCTTCTCCATGATCTTGTCCACCTGCTTGTTCTGGATGTCAATCTCGTTGCCCACGTCCAGCGCCATGCTCTTCAAGTTGCCCAGGATGCTTCCCACCTGCACCAGGTTCTCCTCCATCTCGTCCTCCCGCGCGTCATTCGTTATTCTGGAAGATCCGGCCCCTTCCGTAAGGTGGGGAGCGTCCTGCTCTGACCCTAAGCACTAACCGCACCAGCCTCTCTGCCGCCTGGGCTAAGGGAGTAGCTCCCTCTGCGAGGGGGCAGTAGCAGGCTGTTATCCTCTATGCAGGCTGCAGCCACTAGAGGGCGAGGTTTAGCCAGCGACTGCATCTCTATGGGCTTTATTAGACCTTGGATTCCCGCTCCGTCCCCATTCAGGACCGCTCCCCAGCCAGGCCGTCTTTTCCGAGCCCCTCTCCATCGAGGCCAGCACCAACTTTGAGAGGAGAGCACTCCCTACTGAGCCCCCCATCCTGCCCCCTAACACCACACTGAAGCATCGAGTCTCTGATGGTCCAGAACCCCACCGGACTGTCTCAAGAACCTGGGGTGGGGGGGGTCAGGTCGTGAGGCCCCCCCCCCAGATGCAAATAACCTAAGGGGTTTGGGGTCTCCCCCAGCGAGAGTACCTCTTCCTGAGCCACCCACCCCACTCCCTTGCCTTCCAGTGGGACACCAGCCGATGGGCTCCCAGCCCAAGGGGGCCCAGCTGGGCTCAGCCCCCTGGAGGTGCCTGGGGGCGGGTCCTGCTAGTCCTACCTGTGGATGTAGTCGCCGCTCATGACCATCTGCTCCCTTTCGTCTGCCACCCGCGAGGGCTGCGTGGAGACCACCCCGTCCTGGGTGTTGCCCCAGACCGCCTTGTATGCCTCACTGGCCTTGATGTTCTTCAGCCTCCGTAAAACAAGGATGGGGGGAGCCGGTGAGACATAGGCCTGGGGGGTCTGACCCCACCAGGGCAGCCAGGTGCCTCCTTTTCCCTGGCTGGGGTCAGATCCCACAGGGCAGCCCCCCAAAACCCAGCCGGGGTCTGGTTCCACAGGGCTGCCCCCAAACCCAGCTGGAGTCTGATCCCACAGGGCTGCCCCCCAAAACCTGGCTGGGGTCAGATCCCACGGGGCAGCCCCCCAAACCCAGATGGGGTCTGATCCCACAGGGCTGTCCCATGCCCCCCTGGCGCCCTGAGATGCAGGGGTGTGGGGAGGCTGCGTTGTCGCATGGGGCTGGGACCGGCAGGGCGGAGGTGATGGGGCAGCAGATCACAGGGGTATCTCCCCTTCCAGGCGGGGGGCGGGGGGGGCACCTACTTGGCACAGGGGCAGACGCAGATGCCGCAGCACTTGGCCATGTCTGTCAGGTTCTTCTCCGCCTCCTTCATGTCCTGGTTGATCTGGTCCAGCCCCTCGTCAATCCGGTCCAGCTGTTCTGGAGAGGGGGTGGGGGGCAGGTGAGTGCTGGGGCCAGGGGGGCAGAGAGGCCGTAGGGCTTGGGGAGTCTGTGGGGCAGGGTGTTGGGGGGGCAGATGAGGCCGTAGGGCTAGGGGAGTCTGTGGGGCAGGGTGTTGGGGAGGCAGATGAAGCCGTAGGGCTGGGGGAGTCTATGGGGCAGGGTGTTGGGGAGGCAGACGAGGCCGTAGGGCTGGGGGAGTCTATGGGGCAGGGTGTTGGGGGCAGACGAGGCCGTAGGGCTGGAGGAGTCTATGGGGCAGGGTGTTGGGGAGGCAGACGAGGCCGTAGGGCTGGGGGAGTCTATGGGGCAGGGTGTTGGGGGCAGACGAGGCCGTAGGGCTGGGGGAGTCTATGGGGGAGCCTGTGGGGGGAGCAGGCTCTAGGTTGGCAATGGATTGAGTCTTCACCTGGACCTGCCCCCAGGTAGGAGGAGCCCGGGGCTGTCTCAGGATGCATGAACCCAAGGTGGGGTAAGTGGGGGAGTCGGGGGGGGAGTCGGGGGTACCAGGGGGGTTCAGGTCTTGAGGTTCACCCCCAGGTACAAATAAGCTACGGGGTTGGGGTTTGCTCCTCCCAGATGAGAGTAATGGGGGGGCAATGGGGAGCCAATGGAGAGCGCCCCTCCCACCCGCACTGAGAATTCAGTGCTGTGAGCTTCCCCACAGCAGTGTCCTTGGACTCTAGTCACCATGGCTGTGAGTTACGGGGAGGGGGTGATATTGGAGCTGGGTCCCACCCCTGCTCTCTCATGTGGTGAGCCAGCTCAGCCCCTCCCCTAGAGCTGGTCCCGTCCCGCCCCAACGCCCATGGGAGCCGCACAGCCAAGGGCTGGGGGTGGGGGCAGCGGGGTCTCAGGAACCTGGGTCCAGCAGAACTCAGGGGGACCCAGCCTTAAGCTGGAGCCGGTGCTGATCCAACCGGGCGGGTCTGTGACAGGAGTGACCTGATTGAGGGGGGGGGTCTGGGAGTGTCCCCCCTCCCAGGCACACACTGGCTGTGTCCTGCTCCTCCGCCCCCCCCCCCCCCCCAGCCTCTTCCTCACCTCCCTGTTCATCCAGCATCACCAAGATCTGGATCCCAGCGTCTTTGCTCTGCGATGGGAGAGGAGGTAAGGGGGGGGGCAGTGTTAGCAAACCCCGGCCCAGCCACTGTGACACCAACCTCAGAACAGCGCTCTGATGCCAGAGGCTGTGAGCTTCCCCACAGCAGTGCCCTGCCAGGGACTCTGGTGCTGTGAGCTTCTCCGCAGCAGTGCCCTGCCACGAACGCCAATGCTGGGAGCTTTCCCACAGCAGTGCCCTGCCAGGAACGCCAATGCTGGGAGCTTCCCCACAGCGGTGCCCTGCCAGGAATGCCAATGCTGGGAGCTTCCCCACAGCAGTGCCCAGCCAGGGACTCTGGTGCTGTGAGCTTCCCCACAGCAGTGCCCTGCCAGGAACGCCAATGCTGGGAGCTTCCCCACAGCAGTGCCCAGCCAGGGACTCTGGTGCTGTGAGCTTCCCCACAGCAGTGCCCTGCCAGGAATTCCAGTGCTGTGAGCTTCCCCACAGCAGTGTCCATAAAGGAACTGCAGAGCTGTGAGCTTCCCCACAACAGTGCCCAGCCAGGGATTCCACAGCTGTGAGCTTCCCTACAGCAGTGCCCTGCCAATACCAGGCTGAAGACTCTGGTGCAGTGAACTTCCCCACAAGAGAGCCCTTCCTGTTCCTGGCTGGGCTCTCTGATGCTGTGAGCTTCCCCACAGCAGTGCCCTGATCAGTTCCAACTGGGACTCCAGTTTACCAGCCCCAAGGGACAGCTGCCTTTGCTATCAGTTGCTGCACATCTCTGTATTAAAGGGGGTGCCAAGGGACCAGCCCCCATCACCTCAGTTCTTACCTCTTCCACCATATGCAGCATTCGACGGGTGCTCTCCAGCGACTGCAGGGGAGAACAGAGAACAGGGTGTTGGTACAAGAAACGCAGCCCCCACTGAGGAGCTCAGTGCTGCATACGGGGCAGGCGACTGAAGTGCAGCTACCTCTGGGGCACGGCCCTTCAACAGCGCAGCAAAACCACCGCAAGCCTTCTTGCAGAAAGCGCCTTCCCTGCATGAGCTCTCCTGAAAATGTTCTGCAGAATGAAAGTAGCTAGAGAAGAGCACGTGGGGTGGGGTGCAGTGGGGTGGGATGTTATGGAGGGGAGGCAGGCTGGCCCGCCAACCTCGTGGTTACGATGTTACGCTGGGACTCAGGGGATCTGGGTTTGATTTCTGTCTCAGCCACCAACTCCCCACAAGACCTTGGGTGAGTGAGTGTGCCTCAGTTTCCCCACCTGTAAAAAATGGATGATAATCCTTCTCCTGTCTATTTAGACTGAAAGCTCTCTAGGTCCTTGTGATGTGTCTGTGCAGCGCCCGGCCCGACGGGGCCCTGATCTCGGTCACTGTGTGTCTGGGCGGCGCCCGGCCCAACGGGGCCCTGATCTCGGTCACTGTGTGTCTGGGCGGCGCCCGGCGTGTC